CCTCCCCCCCAACTCACCAAACCAGCGATAGCGGCCAATCATCCGCCTCCCGTGCGCCACAACGAAGCACATCAGTACCCTTTTCTCGCTACGGTGTCGTCATTCGTCACTCGTCACTTCCCCTACTCAGCCTTTCGAAGCCTCCGCCTGCAGAAAGCACATCCAAGGGTCCTCGTCACCCTCGACCATATTTTTCATCCCTCCCATCGCCTGTCGATTTGCTTGCCAAATCGTTACCTCACTTTTGAGAGGCAATAGACGAATCGATAGCGGCGCACCTTATCGATCCGGCTCCCCAAGCCCGAAGCCAAAAAGCACAAACCGACAGAACCGAACCACCGCCCGGTCGCCGCCCTCTTCTTTCATACTATTCTTTTTATCATTTCCTTCTTCTAGAACCTCTTTCCCATCCCGGGCGCCTCCTCTCCGTAATCCGTCACCATGTCGTGGGAACTCTCTCGCCGTCGCATTGTCCGAGCTGTCAACAGCAAATACATTTATGGACGCCTCGTATGCTAGCCCTTTCCATAGCACTGTCGTACCTACCTACCTGCCTGCTCCGTTTGTTGCTTTTCGTGTTGCTCCTAGAACATTCCTCACACGATTGAATCTGAATCCTTGCTTGGCTGTCTTGCTTTCCCGTCCGCCACCTCCGTACTACCACTTGCGCTTGCGCTGTCTCCTACCTTATCGCTGCATCTCCTCCATCTACCTCGCCTATCGCGCCGCACCTGATTAAATCAACTTTGCGCTGACTTACGAACCTACCTTTAGCCCCTGCTTCACGGAATCATCATTCTTATCGAAATGGCGCTCGTCGCCCGGTTGGTGTCCAAGTTCAACCAATACTACGATGAACGGCCACGTACGTGCCTCCCAAGACTCCCATATCCAGATTTCGCCACACCATGATCCATCATCCATACTGACTCTAGTGTCGCAACAGTGCTCACCATGATGGTGACCAACGCCATCCTCGGTGGCATCGCCGATACGACCGCACAAACAGTTACCGCTCTTCGTCTGAAGGCCGTCCGTAAGCCCGGCGGCGTCGACAAGGACGATGGCATCGCGATCGAAATCCACGACCTCGACCGCAAGAACCCCTTCTACGAGAAGGACCTCATTCCCAACATCAGCAGCCTGCCTCCCCCATTCGACTTTGAGCGCCTGACTCGCTTCATGGCCTACGGTTTCGGCATGGCGCCCCTCCAGTTCCGCTGGTTCAAGTTCCTGTCGGCCACCTTCCCCATCACCAAGACCAGCGCCTTCATCCCCGCCATGCAGAGAGTCGCCTTTGATCAGCTCATTTTTGCGCCCTTTGGTCTGCTGTGCTTCTTCTCCGTTATGACCGTCGCCGAGGGTGGTGGACGCCGCGCCGTCATGAGCAAGTTGCGCGACATGTACATCCCCACGCTGAAGGCCAACTTCATCGTCTGGCCTGCCGTGCAGGTCGTCAACTTCCGCTTGATGCCCATGCAGTTCCAACTGGTAAGTTTGAAAAGTTGAATGGGAGACACTAGTAACACATGCTAACACTACGTAGCCCTTCGTCTCCACGATCGGTATTGCCTGGACCGCCTACCTCTCCCTCACCAACTCATCCACCGAGGTCGACAACCGCCCCGGCGCCCGCGAGGATGACCACATTCGTCTCAGCTGAATTCCACACCTTCCTTTACTTTGAGTTCCTCGCATTTTCAGTCTGCAGGTCGGCATGGGACAGGTCTGGTCGACACCACGGTGAGCATACGAGAAGGTTATACCAATGAAGCACAGTCGTGCTTCGAATTTGTTCGATCGTTACAAAGAAAAAGACAGCAACGGCATTGACGGCATGGGCTGCTGCGACGGTACAGGCGTCTGGTGTTTTGGGTCCACATTATGGATTGAGGAAGGCCTTCTTTTTATCGTCTCTCTTTTGTAGTAAGCAGTTGTAAAACGCAACGAAATTGAACAAGACGGTTCATTCATGATATCTGATGCTTTGAATGATGTGTGGTCTGAGGATGTTGTAATGGCTCTGATTTTGGACCGGCGTATCTCTCGGTGGTATTTGAGTCTTGTCACTGGGAGCAAACCCCGGCCACCTTGGCTATTGAAATTGGTGCTGTAAAATGTCACGGCCAGTTTTGGGCACAGTCCTCGGATCAGGATTGCTGTGTACCAACAATAGCGTATGAAACGAAACCATAAAGTAGCCAAGATGCTGCAGTCCCTTTCCGTGTGTTTTGCCTTGTCTTCCATGTCTCTAGTATCGGGCGATAGTTTGGCTACGGTCCGTTGATTCCGGGCGGATGGCCGTGACCGGGGGGCTGGTTGAGGAAAGCGCAGTTTCTGTGAGGTATCAGACTACCATCACGTCACACACCCATGGCGGGGCAGGCCGCAAGCACCGCAGCACCGCAAGCACCCCCGTTGTCGCAGCTGGCCGATTTAGTGGAAAACCACTGGACAGGGCACCTAAGGTAGGTAGGTCAACAAAGCTCCCCCCACTGACACGCTCAATCTATCTAAGTACCACCCATGGATAAGGTACTTGCAGGCTTGCAGGCTTGCAGCAGCAGGGCCGAAAATCAACCCCGCCAACAGAAAAAAAAAAAGTCATGCAAAAAACCGCCGAGCAAAAATGCCCCTCCTTCCATCCTGCTGGCTCTACCTTACTGCGTATCAGTAGCGTCCAAGTCGCTGGCACTGACTGGCAGTAGCAGCATCCAGCAACAATAACCCCACCATTGCAAGCTTCCCAACGTGAGGTTCCCGTGTTGAACCACTCGAATTGACTGATTACTGCATGTTTTACCCCCCTGCCCGCGCCGTCCTTAGAAGTGTCCGGCGTGGTGTCCCTCACTCACTCCATCAGATCCAGCCATCCCACCTTGGGCAAGGTAGGTAGCGTGTGTGTGTGGTAGCTACCTTAGCTAAATATACCTCAGACCTTTTACTAATTCCTCAACGTCTTCCCTCCCCTCCTCTTCTTCTTCCTCTTTTTACTTCTTCAACCTTCAACTCTTCGCTTCATCCTCACACATTTGCGCCCCTCACCATCGCAATCATGTCTCTCGCCAACAAGCTCTCCATCACCGACGTCGACCTCAAGGGCAAGCGCGTCCTCATCCGCGTAAGTCGTGCCACTCTTACATTGTCCCTGTCCTGGTCTGAAGCGTTGCTGGGGACGGTTTTGGTGGTGGTTTTGTTGCTGTTATTGCTGCAGCTGCTGCGGCGCTGCGCTGCTGCTCAAATTACCCCACCATGCCACCATGCCACCCGCACCCGCGCCTGATCCCGGGTATCACCTCACACCCGTTCCGTATTCTGGCGATACGGGACGAGCCGCGGGTATTCGACTCGGCCACCCTGCACATGCTTCCTCTGGCGGCATTGGAATACACCGGGAATTCTGGGCACGCCGTCAAGATGCTGCTGCTCACCGACGAGCCGGAACACTGGACACCCCTTGCTAACCCCTCACCCAGGTCGACTTCAACGTCCCTCTCGACGCCGACAAGAAGATCACCAACAACCAGCGTATTGCCGGTGCCGTCCCCACCATTAAGTACGCCATCGACAATGGCGCCAAGGCCGTCGTCCTGATGTCCCACTTGGGCCGTCCCAATGGACAGGAGAACCCCAAGTACAGCCTGCAGCCCGTCGTCCCCGAGCTCGAGAAGCTGCTCGGCAAGAACGTCCAGTTCGCCAACAACTGCGTCGGCAAGGACGTCGAGGACCTCGTCAACAAGGCCACCGACGGCCAGGTTGTCCTCCTCGAGAACCTGCGCTTCCACATTGAGGAGGAGGGTTCCGCCAAGGACAAGGAGGGCAACAAGACCAAGGCTGACAAGGCCAAGGTTGAGGAATTCCGCAAGGGCCTCACTGCCCTCGGTGATGTCTTCATCAGTGAGTCATTTACTCTTGATTGCCATTGGAAAAACCCCGTCCCATCTCAGAAGCTAACTCGAACACCCAGACGACGCCTTTGGCACTGCTCACCGCGCCCACTCCTCCATGGTCGGTGTCGACCTGCCCCAGAAGGCCTCCGGTTTCCTCATGAAGAAGGAGCTCGAGTACTTCGCCAAGGCCCTCGAGAATCCCCAGCGCCCCTTCCTCGCCATCCTCGGTGGCGCCAAGGTTTCTGACAAGATTCAGCTCATCGACAACCTGCTGGACAAGGTCAACACCCTCATCGTCTGCGGTGGCATGGCCTTCACCTTCAAGAAGACCCTTGAGAACGTCAGCATTGGTGACTCCCTCTTTGACGAGTCCGGCTCCAAGACCGTTGGCAAGCTCGTCGAGAAGGCCAAGGCCAACAACGTCAAGCTCGTCCTCCCCGTCGACTACGTCACCGCCGACAAGTTTGACAAGGACGCCAAGGTCGGCTCTGCCACTGACGAGTCCGGCATCCCCGACGGCTGGATGGGTCTCGACTGCGGCCCCAAGTCCATTGAGCTCTACAAGCAGGCCATTGACGACTCCAAGACCATCCTCTGGAACGGCCCCGCTGGTGTCTTTGAGTTTGACAACTTTGCCACCGGCACCAAGTCGACGCTCGATGCCGCCGTCGCCGCTGCCGAGGGCGGCAAGATTGTCATCATCGGTGGTGGTGACACGGCCACCGTTGCCGCCAAGTACGGTGTCGAGAGCAAGCTCAGCCACGTCTCCACCGGCGGTGGTGCCAGCTTGGAGCTCCTCGAGGGCAAGGAACTGCCCGGTGTCACTGCTCTGTCGAGTAAGTAAATCATTCCTCGTGCGGTGGAGGATGAAACCTCTATGGACTCGATCGGTCTGATAGATGGGAAAAGGCCGGGCTGGCAAGGCCAGTCTTTAGGACTCGGGATGAAAGAAATGCGCGTGCGGGAATGCAACGAACGCAGAAGCCCATGCCGGGAAAAGGGAGGGGGCGCTCATGATGAACGTAATGCCCTCGTGTCATGTCCTAGGATCATCAAACGTCACGATATCAAATAAACAGTAAAAGTAGAGACACCTCTCGTCCTAAAGGAAAATGGAAACCTCGCATGCCCTGTTGTGATTTCATTCCTGGTATGTCGCCAGTCGTATAGAGCCCGTTACGTAGTGTAGTCTATGCCGTGATTCCCACCAAGTTCACCCATGCGTCATTCCGCCTCCCATCATCGTACCATACACCCACCGCGAGTAGCTTATCGTCTCTTGGATGCCTCGACCTTCTTCAACTCCTCCCTGCGGTATTGTTAGCACTTCTGTTATGAAGGTGGTCTCGAAGGGTTGGGGATTTGCCATACTTCAACTGCGCAGAGAAGTCGTCGCTCGTGTCATCATCGTCCCAGCTCTCTTCCCACAGGTGCTGCGTCGAGCCACTGCCGCCCGCAGCCGCCTCGGTCTCTTCCTGGGGCCAGTCTGTGGTAGTTACGTTAGCATACTGTCTTTCTTCGCAAACAAAGCAGATAGAATAGTGTGGCGTATGTCTATGTTGGCCGGGAATGATGACCCCCCTCCAACGTAGCTCGAGGTTACGATGAAATAGATGGGCTCAGCGATACCGTCATCCCCACCCATCATAGTAAAGCCGAAGCAGTATGGAAAGGAGATTATCGACAATGAAGGGTGAGAGAGACGTACCGTCGACGGGGAAATCCTCAAACTCGTCGTCCTCGCCGAGCGCGGGCTTCTTCGCCGCCGCCGCCTGCTGCTGCGTCGTCTCGTCGGCCTTGGTGTCCGCGGCGGATGCGGTCTTGTCCTGGGGCTTTGCGTCTGAGGCCATTGTGTGGATGTGTGTCTTGTGGTGGTGGATTGGGATGTTCAGGTATGAGGGAGGATGCTGTGAGCCCCTCTTCGTCGCTCCGTGGGATGGTAGTCGTCGATCTGCTATTGATGAAATCGTTTCCGAGGTAAGTTTGTGGGTTTCACGATGTCGCTGGTTGTGATGTGGTGGGATTGTGGTGTTGGAGTTGCGGATTGGTGATGGTGATGGTGTTGGGAGGAGCTAGCTTGCTTGCAGGCGATGGAGAGGTAGCAGGCAACGCGGGCGGACGGGCGGCGGTGGAAGGTTGTCGACGGGCGGAAGTTGCCGGCTGCGGCTGGCGTTGCTTGCTGTTGCTTTGCTTGCTGGGTGCGGCGGGCTGAACAGGCGGCACTGGGAAGGCGTAATGCTGGGCCCTGGCGTCGGAGGTGGGGTGTGAGATTAGCTTGAGGTGCACCCCCATAGCACCTCTCCCCACTGCACACCGAGCTTGGACGAAGTCAAGCACGGCGAGGATGGCTTCTTGTTTGACGAAAGTGTTTTGACCCAGAGGTTCTGGATTTCTTAGTTTTTCTAACTGCTTTACTGATTACAACTGAGATAATCCAAACCAAAGCCGTGGATATCGGGTCTGCGAGAAAAACAGCAATACCCATGAGAAACTCCCGTCTGAGCTTGGACAAGCAGCTATCTGCTGTTGGGTAATGTACCATAGCATGTAAAGTAGACAAGTCTGTTCATATCTCGTCCTATGAATGAAAACGACACTAATTCTTTGGCAGAGAGAGTAGGAAAGTGCCGGCTCTTGATTAGTTACTTACAAGCCGTAAAATTTCAGTTTTTCTCTTGAGTTTCTCCCACATTCTACTTCGTATTCTTGCCTGAATACGTTACCCAAACCAAACTGACTTGGATCTCAGAGTTCCTTGAATACTCAAGCATAGCCATGATAATTCCGCCTCTCGACATCCCTCAAACACTCATCGCAATATCCCGTCTCCCACCGTGTCTCATACCTCAATCTCAGCAGACACCGACCGCGCGTCCTGCCTCGCGCACATATGTCTGTCCCGCGCTCGACCGTGTGGCGGCAGTCCTCCTTTTTTACTTTCCAAATGGTGCACATAAATCCTAGCCTACTGCCTTGTAGAGATCAACAGAGAAGTAGTGTTGAGACCTAAGTTCTTGATCTAAGAGTGATTTCGCAATTAACGACATGGGATTACTTCAACTGTTCGAATTCATGTTTTGAGCATCTCATATATATGGATACCCAGTACGCTGATGACTGTGTGCTTCTCATGAATCGCACTTGCTATATATAACCTCTGACTGTTAAACACACTCGCCTTGACACAACCTAGCCGGTGCGGTATCCGATGTGACTAAGGAGAAAACACTGTGACAAACAACGCCTGTACACCAAGAAATTACTTCCCGACGCCCGCCAAGGTTTCTGAAGACTGTCGAGTGTTCTACGCATCCTCGTCTTCGTCTTCCTGTCCCTCTTCTTCTTCCTCTTCTTCTTCCTCTTCTTCTTCACCATCGCCTTCACCCTCTTCTGCTTCCTCGTCATCTTCACCCTCTTCAGCTTCCTCATCTTCATCACCTTCCTCACCCTCCTCAGCTTCCTCTTCATCTTCAGCCTCTTCTTCCTCTTCGCCTTCTTCAGCTGCTTCGGTTTCCTCGCCGTCACCTTCCGCTTCTTCGCCATCCTCTTCGCCGTCTTCGCCGTCTTCACCTTCTTCGGCCTCATCGCCTTCCTCACCCTCTTCACCTTCTTCGGCTTCGTCGCCCTCCTTAATCTCATCGCCTTCCTCACCTTCTTCAGCCTCGTCACCTTCCTCGACCTCCTCGCCGTCACCCTCTTCTTCTTCTTCTTCTTCTTCTTCTTCTTCTCCTCCTCCTCCCTCCTCCTCCTCCTCCTCCTCCTCCTCTTCTTCCACGTCTTCGCCTTCTTCGTCATCGCCGTCACTAGAGTTATTCGTCTCTTCAGCGCGACCAGAATCCACGCTCTTCCTGAGATTAGGGAACATGAGCGAAGGAGGGGGCTGCTCATCCCAGTCATCCGGAACATCGCTAAGTTCACTCTCGTCATCTGCGGAATCGTGAATGCTGCCCCTCGGACTAGACGCTGCCGTGGCCTGTGCAAGTGTTTCGTCCCCTTCATCAACATCCATGGCAGTGTCGTCCTTCATCTCCGTGTCCTCGACCTCTTCGACGGTGTCTCCTTCGTTGAGCTCCTCGGTATCACTGCCATCCCCAGCGTCCCCAACGGGAGTACGCGTTCCGTTCCTGCCACTCGAAACCGAACCCACACGAGATTTGGAAGGAGCAACTGATGGCTTTGGCGCTTCACCGTACCGGGCAAACGCCTGTTCCGCCTTGCGAATGATATCAGGCCGACGAACGCCCGCCCTGCGCCTGGGTGCTGCCTCAAGTGCCGATGCCGTCTTGTCACCTTCACCATTGGCCCCCGAGTCTTGCGCCGATGATGTGTTTAGCAGGTTGCCCAAGGAAGTGGATGGCTTGAGCTCGATCCCGCCATCGGCCTCTTCTCTGGCACGAGCCCTTGCGCGTGCTTCGAGAACTTCGTGAGGTTCAGGACCCGGCAGCGAAGGGCCAATCTCCTGGTAGATGATGGCGTAGCAGTCGTTGATTAGGTCGTCAATTGCCCCGGCCTTCATGAGGCCGCCGTTGAGCTTCTTCAACTCAATTGTCTCCTTCAAGCAGTTGAAGGCGGGAATGTCCGTTGCTGGACCTCCGGCCCACTCCGTGATACGATCCGCCATGATCTCCAGCTCTTCCATCGACGTCGACTTGAAAGCGTCTTCCAACGTAGGAGAAATTTGGAAGCCCTGCCGCAGAAGCCTCAGGTAAGCCATGGAGCACATCTGCCACAAGTCGCCAAAGTGGTAGAAGTCGGCGCCCTTCTTCCGAAGTCGCCTAAGAACCATTTCCAAGTTCACTCTGTCGTTCATGACCACCAAAATCTTGACCATGAAGCGAATATACTGGGACGTATAAACGTGGTGGCGTCCAGAACGCTCCGCGTCGCACTTCCAGACATTCATAACCATTGTCTTGGTAAACATGGATTCTCGAAGAACATTGAAGGCTGCCTTGGCTTGCACAAGCTCCGGTGATTCGCCATCCTCATCGAAAAGCAGGCGGGCATGACGCATAATGATACGGTGCTGCCAGTTAGACTTGTCCTTATCCCGTAAGTGATGCAAATTCCGGATCACGTATTCCTCCCAATCTTCGTTGTCGTCAAGAGTGATATCGTCTCCGAGTTCCATACCGAATGGTTGCCTCGACAGAATGTCTGCGCCCTCTTGTGGCTTCAACTCGCCTCGAACAACCAATTTGTACACTATCGAGACGATCTTGTAGTGCGGCTCCAGGATAGGATCGCTATGCCGCGATTTGGGCACCGCCGCAACAACTTCGATAGCGTATTCGAGGGCCGAAATCAAGTACTCAAGTGATGGGCGGGTCTCCCGGTCCTTTTTGCTAAGCTGATCGATGGGCTTTTGGTACATTTTCCACAAACATTTGGTAAGCATGTACGGATTCCTGTTCACAGTCAGTCTAGGTTCGGCGCAATTGTAAAGGACAACGAACCTCCAGTCCATTGGTTTACGCCTCATGGCCCGTTTGAACAAGCCAGCTGCGTATTTCCAGACCTTGTAGTCTTGCATCTGGTCGTGAAGGACCCTTTGGAAGGTTCCATTTCCCTCGCTTTCGATGAAGAATCTCTCTTGGTCCGCATGTTGGAAGGGCTCCATGGCAAGAGGCTCGCGGCTGGATGCGTACAGGCGCATAGCAAAGTTATGATAGAGCTCGTAGAGCGGATCCTCGTCCTCGTCATCGATCTCTGCCTCCCAAGAGTTGGACAACGCCAGAGTATAGCAATGGATCGAATTTCGCTGGAATTTGAGCAATTCACCGCGTTCCTTGTTCATCTTGTCGGCCGACCACAGCACAGCCTCATCAAGCTCGTAGTCGAAGCACTCGGCTAGGCGGAACCAGGCTTCCCATTTATCTGGGGTGAACTGAAGTTGCAGCCGCAAGAAAGTGGCCGCGAGCCGCAGGTCGTCAGTTGCACCTGGTGTTTGCCGCTTGCTCAAATCCACTTGCTTGAACCTCGTCAGGGCAATCATGCCTAGGAGGAAAAACCAGCCGTGCCTGGCTAGGGCGCTTTCGGGAGTGTTTACAGCTACGACGTCTAACTGAACACCGCCGGTGAGGGCTTGGTAAAGCCGAAGGGGGTGGATCGGCCGCTTCAGATACTCGGTAAAGTTCCTCAGGTTGTGAATCATCTGAGGCGTCGACTTTGTCTGTCCAATGGCTCCTTGCATATGCTCGATGGTCGTTTTGAGGTCTGACTTGAGGAGGTCCTTTCGGGGCATTCTCCTTGCCAGGACCGTAATCTTGTCCACAAGCTGCATGGCGTTGCGCTTCTCGAGCTTCTCTGGGGGGCAGCCATGGTCCTGAACCTCTCCAGCACCGACACCAAGTTTGAGACCGTGGAGGTCGTAAAGCACTTGCCCAAGATAGTCTTCCCAATTTTCAATCTTCTTGAATTTGAGCAACTCGACCCGCATCATCTTCAAGAAGATCTTGTTTGAGGCTTTACAGCATTTCCTGAGCCCAATTACCTGATGAATTGCAGACAAGAAGTCTGCCAACTCCATCTCAGGATTCGGGAATATCTTTCCGTTTTGGTTTACACCGACCTTGACGACCGTGTACTGGAGGCACCATACACGCACTTGAATCTCACGCAGCTTGTTGAGGAAAGGCTGGAATGAGGGACTACTCGGCGGGACACGTGTCATACCGATGCGAATCTCGTCTTCATGCATCGCCGATACGTGAAGCATGCAGCTCAATTTGATGAGAGCAGCCGATGTCGACTTGAGATGGTCTTCGTCGACAATGTCGTAAGCTGAGCTGTCATTCAAAGCCAACGAAAGCGCCGTGATCAGTAGATCATCCAGTGATTTGAGCATCTTCAACACTAAGGGCGGTCTAGTTTCCGGAGCGTTCTTGAGATAACTGTCGCTTTCCAAGTCCGCCGTGAGCATCTCAATGGCTTTGAGCTGGCACGAGAACTGTTTCGTTGAATATTTGATGCTGGCATACGCATCGCTAAGTCGTGTCCAGAGGAAAAGACGCAGTTCCGTGCTAGTTCCCAGCAAGAACCTCCAAAGATCCTGGAGGCTTTGGCTTGCACACTCCTTGATGGGCACTTTCATCGTTTTGGAGCGGCCAGATGACTCTTCTCCGTCTTCTGCCGAATCATCGGATGGCAGGGTGACGTAAACAGACCCGGGATTCAGAACGGGCTCAAGGTTATCAATGACGGCGACTGGGTCGCTAACATTGTCCTGGAAGAGGCCGAGGAAGAAATCCATAGTGGTCAGCTTAGATATTTCTCTATCCGCCGCCGCCTCCGAAATTTCCGGTATCACCGGATTATTCGGCAGGAGGAGTTGATCAATCCCACTATCTGCAAGGAAATCTCGTAAACTGGTCCAGCACTGCAGAATGTACTCTCTCGACGCGTTCTCCGTAAGAGTCGTCGAAAAGATGGCAGCCCAGAGGAAGCGGCCAGTCAAGTTTTCGTTGCCTTCTTCTGCGGCGTCCCTCAGCAAAGCTGAAGCCATGTCTAGCCACCGACCCAAGCGACCCCTGGCTTCAACGCGGATGCTGTAGTCAACGACACTGTTGGGGTTGGTGATTCTCTCATACACGTCAAGGTGGATCTCGAAGAGCATCTCGACGATGTTTTTAACAAACCCAAATTCCTTGTTCGCGTCGTCTGACTGTCTCGCGCGGTCCAGGTCGTAGTTGATGGCTTGAAGGATATCCTGATCGAATCTACTAATGACTTGGACCACGGCCGTCTTCAAGACATCTGACCACTTTGTCTGGAGATAGCTGGGGCATATCGTCTTGATCCATTCGTACGCAACATCTTGGGCGGTCATCCAGGAGGAATTTACTCGCTTTACAAAAGCAGCGATGCCCTGCGTCTCCTTGAATGGTGGTATGATTGACATCTTCTGAGAACCCCCTTTGGCATGCTCAAGGAAAGAAGACAAGCTCAGTGATGCCTGTGCCTGTTTGTTGAGCAGGATTTTCGCATTCTCCTCGCTGAAAGAGACGATCGCATTGCGGAGATCCATGGTCGCTTGGTTTTTTATGGATGCGCCGCGTTCCTCTGCAGCAAGGGAATCCAACACTTCGCTGATGCGGTCTAGAGTGTCCTGATTCGTGACTCCAATGTTTTCCAACATATTCTTGGTAGCTTGGAACAAATTTTGGTCGGTGGCTTGATAAGGGGCCAGCTGGGACGCAAGCACGGCGCTTGGGTCAACAACTTCTTCTGCGGCTGCTGTCTCTCGCCTCCTAATACGCTTGCTCCTTTTTTCGACGAGGCTCTCCTCCTCTTGGCCCTCGGGATTGCCAGCTGCTGAATGTGATCGCTTTCGAGAGGGCTGGGAGGCGCTTCGACCCTTGCGAGTGCTCTCAGCAGGTTTGGGAGTTTCTTTCGCAGTGGGCTCCACGCTCTCTGTCTTTTCCGTAGTTTCGTGCTTGTCCTCCTGCACCGAGGCCTCGTCCTTTTCTTTGCCATCCGATCCGTTTGCTTGCACTTCCTGCTCTGGTTGGCTTTCCATAACCACGTCATCATCGTCATCCGTTTCAGGAAGCTGAATGACAATGCCGCGGCTCGTCTGCCCCATTTCGAGTATGAACTGCACGAGTGCCATACCCAAATCGGCCCACGATGCATTTGGGACTTCTACGGTAAGACGGGCGAGGCCTGCTTCCTCGACATTGGTGCGGGCGGACCCAGTTTCCTTGATCGGATTCGGCAAATACGGTATGGGATCAATGTGTCGTTTGATGAAGTCGGGCATGTCTCTCTTCACCCAAGGACCCATAATGGGGTGCGACAAGGCAATCTCGTCCGACAGGGCTTGCAGCTGGTCCTTAAGTTGTTGACCGGCGAATCCTTCTGCCAAAGATGGTGGCTCGACCTCGAGAACAGCGGGGTCATCATCGAGTTCGATAGCAGCTTCGAGGCAGTATCTGTTGATTCTGGAGCTCTTCAACGATGCAGCAACACGAGCTGTGCGACGCCACAACTCTGCATCGGACGGATCGCGGTCAAGAGCGGCATTGAAGTCGACCAGAGCGCTATGCATGTTTTGTAGCGCATCATCCTTCTCGAAGTAAGAAGATGCATCGTCTCCGGCGGCTCGGGCGGCATGTCGGGTGCGATCAAGGAGAAATTGACCGCGGTTCTTGTATGCAAGGAAGAAGGCTTGGGGAAGACTACTGCCGGTGGTATCAACATCGGCGGATTGGAGATCGAGACTGCCGGCGAGAGCGGGGTCGGCGAGTAATTGATCTGGCTGCCTTTCTGCCCTTTCGTACTCGGTAGAGGCCTCGGGGTATTTGAAGATTTCGGACTTGAAGAGATCGTCGTAGGCGTCGGAAGCTTCGTCGAAGAATCGAGGGCCTTGAGCATGCAGCTTCAGGGCATTTTGAAAGCGCTTGAGAGCTTCATCGACCTGAGAAGTAATCAGTATTGTTCGAAAATCGGAGCGATATGTTGGCGCGTACATGAAGCTCGCGGGTGGTGTCGACCTCATCATCGGAGTTCTCCTCGGCTTCGACGTTGATCGCTTGGAAAGCCGGCTATGTGCTGGGATTAGCTTTGGTCGCAAGGGCAAATGATTGATGACATTTCATAGACGAACCATATTGTCGGCAGGGCCTTGCGACCAGATTGATTGAAGCGGTGCTCTACTTTATATAATAACGTGCGATGCGTGGGAGGGAATGGATGTTCAAAATGATGTGGCTCTGGGCGAATGCGCAGCCATAATGACCTTGGGGAAAATCGATGCGCGTGGCTGCGAGGATTGACGCGACCTGAATTCAGGAACGTTAAATTGGGTGCTTGCTGGCTGTCGGTACGTATCGCAGCCAGCTACTACCGCAGTAAGGTAGGTAGGTACAGGGACTTGCAGCTTTCGCGTCAGACTCTTGAGGTGCCAGGGGCCAGCTCCCAGCTGCAAATTCTCTGATAGGCTGATAAGGATACCTCAGGCCCTCTGTACAGGACAATGAGACCCAAGGCTCAGGGGGTTGCACTGTTCGAGTGCCCGTGCAGCGTCTCTAGCGAGGTGTCTTACGTAAGGATCCAGCTCGGTACAAACTGGCACCTCAGGAACATGGCAATGCGGCAAGCCGCAAACCAGCTCACAGCTAGAGGTGTATTGGACCCACCCGGTCCTAGTCCCGGCCACGTTTGAGTCCCGCCGGCCGTCGAATGGAACTTGGGAAAGCGCCCGTGGTCTAATTAAATCGTGGCTCTTTGGCGGTTGGCCCTGTCAATCACCTCCAGCAAAGCAGCGTGGCAAGCTCCATCTGCTCTCCATCCCGTCTGTCCCCTGCCAATGACAGACCTCAACTCCCTGTCAGTTGCACAACGTCAATCATTATTAAAGTGTTCCAAGCGGGCAGCAGGTTCCCAGTCCTACGCAGTAGACTGCTGGCATATACTGCGTACATAAATACATAAGGAGTACGGAGTACGGAACACGGAGCAGGTAAGTACCTACAGATACAGAAAGTCGCGGAGTCCAAGCTTGCCCACCACGCCTGCCGTCACCACCACCTATACCTTCCTTCCCCAAGTGTCCAGTTCACGCCGCACGCCGCACGCCGCAATCCCACCTCCTAGTCCACCTTGCACAAGCTGTGCACTTCAATCCTCCATCCCTCGTCAATCTCACCGACCACACCTCGAACCGCCTTCGATCACCAACACCTATCCCTCTGCTCCCAGCCATCCCCTCGAGCGTGCGGGCCAGAACCGCTCACAGGCGCCTTCTCCTGCGCGCACACATGCATCGAATCATTCGCTCATAACACCGTATCCAGTCCATTCCCATCGAGGACATTGCTTCCATATTTGCGACGCCCAAGCTTGACACGCAACAACCGTCGCCATGGTTGCGCCGGCTGTGCCTGAGTGAGTCTACCATCCTCCTTCCATCCGTTCACTGCTTCTAATTCTAATCTATTTGCCAGGCTTACCGAGGAGATTCTCTCTGAATCAATTGAAGCCCGAACCGAATCCCTCATCTCCCTTCGGGAGCTTGGCCCTCCCGACCTGGTCCATCTCCTGAAGCAGGCAACGAGAAACCCTGGCAAGCAGGTAAATGATAATTCACACCTCACGAGCCTATGCATGTGCTAATTAGCATCGCTATGTAGATCGGAGTCTACCACCACGTCACCGGTGTCGACGCTTCGTCCTCGGCCAGTCTTGCTGCCTACATCAACACTTTGACCTATCGCGAGCATGGCCAGGCTGTGCAAACGAAGATTTCGGAAGGCCTCTACTGGTATGCGAATTCTCTCTACATCGAGCTCGAGTTCGAGTAGCTAATCCCCTGCTAGCTGTTACAATGCCTTCTCCCGACTCGACATGCGGGTTCACGTAACGATCCCTGGAACCGTCGAAAGCTACTGTGTGGATGAGCGAGGCGAGAAGCGCAAGGCAACGGATGACTTGTGGCTCGAGACCTACCTCTGCAGCGTTCTCCGAGCCTACTCTTACGCGGATGATGGTAGCGGAGAGACGATCCGAAAGATTATGGGTGTGCGCAGATACAACCCTGTTACCAACACCGAGACCGAACACCGCTTCCTCGGCGCCGCCGAGCAGCTCTTCTTCCGAGGTCCGCATACACTTGAGAACAATGTAGGGTCTCTGTGCTAACAGTATTGCAGGCTGGCAGCTGGGTTCAGACTCTGTCGTTCAAGTGCCGAACAATGTCTCGAACCATTTGACCGCAGGCCTCTTGAAGTACTTCCAGACTACGGGACGTCATGCTTCCGGCATAAACCTCTTTGAGAAACTCAGAGATCAAAACATCGAGGTCTCCTCTCTGTTGGCCAAGGTTCTGTTCATGGGTAATGAGGAAGTCCAAGGTGTCAAGGTGCTGCATCAGGCACTGAAAGAGTCGCCAATGGACTACGTTATGCTCGATACGCAGGCCGAGTTCCTTCTCAGAAAGGCGCAGACCGCCGCAACGCCAGAATTGAAGGAAGAGAGACTTCGCTTGGCTCTGGGCTGCGCCGACCGCAGCACTATTGCCGCTCCTAGTGAATTCGGCACATGGGCGAGACTGGCGCAAGTCTACGTGGCAATGGAGGACTGGGAGAATGCCTTGACCATTCTCAACTCCTGTCCCATGTTCACATACCAGGACAAGGACGCACCTCAGATGCCCGAGCCGAAGGACGTTCACCTCCCAACTCTTCCCGAGACCCGCTTGGACGAGATCGACAGCGAACCCGAGTCCAGATACTCTGAGCAGGTTGACGCCAGTCTTCTGAACCTCCGTGCTTCGGTTTATAAGGGAACCTTCAAGCAGGCTTACGGCATCCTTACCGAGATGACTTCCAAGATTGGATGGGATCAGCTTCTCAAGATTAGAAGCACCGTCTTTGTCATGGAGGACGAATACCGCTCCGAGAAGCAGGAAACCTCGCAGCCTCAGCGTAACCCCAGCACCGACGGGCTTCGTGGAACTCCAGACCCGACCACAAATGGCGACCGATCAGACTCGGAAAGTGACGACGAAGAGGGAGATGAGGAGAAGAAGGCGAAGCCAGCGGATACTGATTCCACCGCCGAGACATTGGCACCAAATGGACAGACAGAGGCTGTGGAGAAGCCTACCCATGCCATCGACCCTGGTGAACTGAAGGGCGATGCAGAAAACGTAAGTGTTTAGTCTTCCCCTTGGCTGAAGCCATGTTAACACTTATCAGGGTGCGCAGACCGACGACCACCTCTCGAAGCTGAACAATAAGCGGCTTTGCGAGCGCTGGCTTGACAGCCTCTTCATGGTGCTGTATGAGGATCTGCGCGTCTACACGATCTGGCGTACGCAAATGGCCCAGTATCGCGCGCAATCCATGCAGTATAAGAAGTCGGCTGAGGAGTGGGAGATTTTGGGCTCTCTGGCTGAGAGACTTCAACACCCGGAAGAAGCTGTGGAGGCCTATAGAGCATGCCTCGCCGCAAGATTCAGCCCCAAGGCCTTGACTGGCATCCTCCGTGTGTTTGAGGAAGGCAAGAACACTCGCGAGACGGTCGCATCAGTCATTCGTCTTGTTACCTGGCAATACAGATGGTACTCGGAGTTCTCACCAGAGCTTCTCCACACGGTTCGGACGCTCATTGAGGATGAGGGTGCAGTCAAGATCAGAAGCATCATCCAAGCTACCAGCCTCCCGCAGAACGTGCTCGACCTGACCCATCACTATGCTGCACTTTGCGCCACTTTCCGCAGCAGCGGCACCGACGGTTAGTTTTGGGCGTTCTCATGAGCCAGGGGCTGAGCAATAGGATCGGCAACAAGCCGTTGATGAATCGGAGGGATTTTGTAGTTCAAGATTTTCAAGCCTAGGATGTGATTTGCAGGATGCAGTTGGGCACGCAAATGTTCCAACGTCACAGCGTGTATCGAGGTCTTGGTGACAGGCACGCTGTGCTGGCTTTGATTGAAAAAAAGAGAAACATAGGCCACCCTTACTTGGGATTCAGGGCTATAACGCAGAGTCAAATGATACCTAGTTCTTCACTTGAAAGATGAGTTCAGATTGGACAATGTGATGTGAATAAAGAGGTTGTGTACTGGATATGAGCTTACAACAGGATTATAGGCGAGCCAGCAATAGGCCCCAACAGCTTTACGGAGCAAAGTGTCCGAAGGAACGGAGCACACCGGGGCCGGCCCGCTCGCTCAGATTCATCTTATGTACAGCGCCGATCACGCAGCAAAGCTTTGAAGGGGTACTGATATCACCTCTACGTCAACCCGATGGATTTTCTGTCTTAATCATGGCTGCATTGAGGGTCTCTGGAGTTTGGACGATAATGCGGTGGCGGCGTGGCATCTGGGCAGTTCGATCAGTGTCGATGAGATATCGATGAGATATAACCGTCCCCACCAGCACCACATTTTGGCGGATGTAGTGATTTCATCGCACAGCGATGGGTGGTATCACGAAGATGACGTCGCCACGTCTGACTTGAGATGGCAAGGCTGAGTGAGATTCGACGAAGACTACATAAGTTGATGATTGCAGGTCGTTGAATGCCTACTCATCATTGCAATATCAAGCAAACAAAACCACCAAACACACGACCTTGAAGCAACTTATTCACAAGCACCACCAATTTCACTTATATCCAACATTTCAAAACACAATTCAAATAAAAAAAAAACCAAATCTTACCACTATAACATACACAATGGCACCCTCAAAGGACCAGCTCATGGAGACGGCAGCCCAGGCCCAGCTCGACATGAACACATACCAATCCAAGACGGGCGCCGCCCGCCCCCAGGGCAACGACGACGCCGGCGTCTCCAACATCCAGACGGAGAACCGCTTCCCAGGCGCCACGGTGACCGTCCAGGGCGACCCTATCAACAACGTCGCGTACAAGCCCGAGCAGCCGCCCAAGAACCCGGCCGAGAACGACGACGACGTCGTTCCCGCCAAGAAGATTTCATCGCTCGGCACGCAGGACCAGAAGGACGATATTCTGCTGCAGGGCGAGGGTGCGGTGCGGAATAATGTGGGCACCAAGGCGCCTGGTGTTGGTGGGGAGAAGTTCCGCGGTTCGGATTATTATGTTCCTGAGAGCGTGCCGGATAGCATCTCGGCAGAGGGGAACATTGCACCTGAGAGTGTGACGCAGGCTTCTGCTGAGGCTGAGAACCCTCGGTAAAGGGTGAGGATTGGAGTTACTTCTTTTTGTGGCTATGACGATGGAAGGGCATGGATGCCGGGCATTGTATGATTATTACGATCATGATGTACAACAGTAATGAAGCTGCCAGAAGGCTGTAAACCGAATAGGTATCTGCAACGTAATTCGGAGAAGTTCAGTGATACAAAAGTGATGAAGCAAGATGCCTTGGACAAAAACGTGTGGTGGTCTCTATCACGGAGTAATGAAAGTCAGCCATACGAAATGCGTTGCTGTTGCATTCGGAGAGAAGTACTCAGACCTCAAATAAAAAGTAAGACCAGTCGCAGCACGCACTGTGGCACATAAAGGCAAATTTGTTGATCAAGGTAATCGGACTTTGATATTACTTCTCATGAAGTACTTCTGAACAGCACCCTCAACTCTTCACTCATCTTGTAATAGTATGAAATCCGCCAACGCCTCGCTTTTGAATCAATCCCATCTCCGCCGTCTAGTCTATAATGCGCATGCCATGAAACAAGAAAAGAGCAGAATGTAAGAAGAAGAGAAAACAAGATCAAGGAACGCCATCAAGTAGCAGGCTGGTAAACATCAGCAACAAACCGATCGCCCAACACCTCCCTAGCATCCCGACCCAACACCTCGCTCAAATTATTCAAGAAATCATCAACGGCCCTCGGCCGCGCGCACGCAAACACAAGAGCGCCATCCTCGATGCTCTTGACCAGCTTCTCCCTGACGCCAGCCTCGAGCATCGCATCTTGCGCCCTCTTCTTCTCCTTGTTACTCCCTGTCAACCTGAGGATATCAAGAATGCCGGCCTCGCTTGCTTCCTGCACCGCTTCGCGCACGAGAGACTCGTCTGCCGCCTTGAAGCCGGCGAAGAGGCTGATCGCAGGCCCTTTGGCGGATTTGTCGTCCGAGGACCGAAGACGCTGGAGACGGCTCTGTAGGAGGCCGCGGACGGGAGCCATGCCGGATCCCGTTGTGAAGACGATCATCGGCTTGTCCTGGTTCTCGGCCATGGCCTGCAGGTGCGACGAAGGGCGGATCTTGCAGGTTGCTGCACCAAAGGTCTCGAAGCAGTTGAGGTACTTGTCCGAGAACTTGCCGTTGGGGTGGTGCTGTACCAAAAGATCCATCGTGTTTCCATTCTTGTGCTTCGTCCTCGAACCGTCGGAGGCGATGGAGTATTCCCTCGGCTGGATCGTCGGCATCGCGTTGCACAGCGCATCCAGCGTCACGGACTGTCTCCAGTTGGCAGGAATCTGGTGAACCACATTCTCGATAGGAACCTTGGCCAGCGTCTCCGGCTGGGGAAGAGACAACCACTCCGCCCACTGCGTAGACTTGAAAGGCTGGTCCAAGTCGGCAAACCTCTGGAAGAACTCTCCAACGGTAGGCTCACCGGGAAGACTCAGCCGCTCGTCAGCCTGCACGCCGAGGGCGCCCAGAACGCGCGACACCTTGTTCTGGGAGTTTGGCGGCAGAATCCAAACGCTGCCCATGGTGGGATACTCGCGATCACCCAGATCGAGAGTGACCCTCTTCATGCCGTCCGCGGCGGTGCCCAGGACAGGCTGTCCGACGACCTTTGCCTGAAACCACGGACGAGTGTCAAAGGGTCTGACCGGGCGAGCGGTCCGCTGCATGTCACTCGTGCTGTTCTCGTCTTGTGGCGGGCTCGACTTTTGGAGACCCGCGAGAACCTGGTCGAAGAACTGGCCAAGGACGGACCAGGGCGGGTTCTCCGTCGCAGTGTCGGCTTCGCGCATGCCAATGAGCCTCTGGGCATCTCCTTTGCTCAGGAGCTCCTCAATATCCATGGCGGCCTGGTTGTAAGTGTCGGCGTACTCCAGCGAGCCGTTTGCAAAGATGGCATACTGGCACGAAATGGCCTTGGGGTTCCTCGCCAGCGCGTCGGCGAAGGCCTTGCCATTCTGCGGAATCTCACCGCGACCCGTCGTGCTGGCGACGATGACCAGCACGTCATCGGGCTCAACCATGGAGATGGGCAGGGCGTTGAGCGTGCACGGCACCACGACGGACCCCAACTTGGGGTTGATGTCGCACGCGCGCTGCAGCTGCGCGCACAGCCTCTTGCAAAGCTTGATCGCGACGTTGCCCGAGCTGCAGAATCCGATGTAGATCCTACGCCCGGGCCCCCGGGGGCTCAACGGCGTCAGGGGGGTGGTAGGTCTGAATACTTGCTGTTGCTGCTGCGAGGACGGAGGAGGGATGGGGAGGAAAGTTGACGGGGAGGAGGCGGTGCCGAAGGGGGAGACTGGCGTGACGGGCCTCGTGAGGGAGATGGACGGCACCACGGGGATGGAGATGTTGAGCTTCGTGTCCGAGGCGTAGTGATGAGAAGGCCGTGCCGCGGGGCGGGCCTGTCGTTGCCGGCGCCAGGCCTTGATGGGATCTTGGGCGTGGCGGCAGATCAAAGGCTTCGGCTGGTAGTTTGGCGAGCCGCCGCGGTGCCAGATGGGGATGATGGACCCTTGAGGCGGTGCCAGCCAGTACGGGTCAGAGGGAAGGCGGAAGCCGTTGTTCATGAGGTGCTCGTCGTCGAACTGGGCAAATTGCTCGGCCGCGCCAAGGGAATCTGACATTCTGACACCCGCCTGAGCGAAGGACCAGTATGTGGCGTAGTTGAGCTCGAGCTGCGCGCGGGACTAATTGATGATGTTAGCAGATGCAACTTGGATGTAGGCAATATGCAAGAGATGCTTACCAACACCGCCAGACGCTCGTAGTCTGGGAGGTTATCTACATCGCCATCGACCAAGCCAATCGCCTTGGCAACCTGTGGAAGCGCGTTGTAGCGGAAGGAATCTGCGAGATTGCGCACACCGATCTCGGCGTCCATGAACCTGCGTTTGCTTTGTCAGTGATGTAACTCCTGCACCTCAAAATAGGTTAAACTCACCATCCAATAAAGGGCGCAGCGGTATACTGGACACCGCCGATGCTGAAGCCAAGGCGGCTGAGTGCTGGCGCGGGAACCCAACGCAGGCCAAGGGTCTCGAGCTCAGGGTGCTTGGGATGGCGGATATGCACCAGAGGGAATGCGTCCTTGGGGAGCTCGGTGATGACGGGCTCTTCTCCCTCGGCCATGGTGACGAGGGGAAGCAGATCCCATTGTGAGCGGAAACGCGGCGGCGTCCAGCCGAGCTCGATGATGGCGTTTGTCAGTTCGACGTTGGCGGGGTCTCCCAGGATTGTGCCGTTTGATTGTTGGTACTTGATCCGTGTTAGTCAATGTTCGGTTCTCATACATATGGGGGAGAAAGACTTACCCCTGCAAAGGACAAGAGTTGTGAGTTCCAGATCATAGGACCGCGGCTGTCGATGTCCCTGGGAGGGAAGACGAAGACTGTCGGGTTGATTTCACCCGAGTTGTAGGCCACTCTCAAGTTCTCAATGAGGGTCTCGGCCATTTTTTTGCTTGTGCGAACATGTCTCAGGTCGCATAGCCTGCCAACGAGTATTAGTAAAACATTTCAATCTCAGACTTTGAAGTTTTCCTCTCATACCTCAAGTTGCTATACTCTGATCGCATGATGCACTTCCGAGCATGCTTCCAAGCCGTCCGGAGCCCGAACTCGAGTTCCTCAAAAGTCTGCGTCCACAGGCCACCCACCAAGCCAACCGTTGCTGCCGGTGGCGCCTCCGATCCGCATTCGGACGCCGTTGTGAACTTGCCCTCTGTCGAGTTCTTTTGAATCTCCTGCAGGACCTCGTGTGCCCGGTGATGAAGCTGCTCCGTGTCAATGAGACCGTCCTTGTACATTTGCTGGAGGAAGTCGAGCGCATCTTCGCGGACTTGGGCGTAGGACTGATTCCGGCCAACGCGCTCCTCGTCCATGTGCGTCATCCGACCGGACTGGCAAAACTTTGTCGTGCAGCCCGTTGAAGAGAGTGATGGGTATTGTGAGCGGATATTGGCGAACTCTTGTTCCGCTGAGATTTGCCGCGGCGGCTGGGCGAGCGTGCCTTGAAGGAATGGGCACGCCATTTTGTTGTGTGGATGTGTAAGTAAGTTGAGATTGGTAAGACAGGGATATCGACCGGGGAAGTCGAATACTACTTCTTCTTTTCCCCAAGACTATGAGGGTACAGAACCCAAAGAGGCTTAAAGCAGAGAAGTGAGAATAAGGTATAGTAACTTTAGCGCGTCTGTAGATCGGTGTTATTCCAAGTGCGAGTCAGAGTGGAGTCTTTGAGTGAAAATTGGTGATGGCGGCATCGGCATCCAAGCGAATGACTAAGTTTAAGCGCCAGTGTCAGTGGTTGATGATCTTCCAGACGGGAAAGCCAAAAACAAGAGTGGACGAACTCTCCAACTTTATAACACTCCGATGTAAAACAAAGGGAATAAAGGACAATAGACTCCAGACCGAAGAAAATCTTAGGACGACTTAGTGTTTTGGAAAGCTGAGCCCTGCCGTGGACGCCCATCTTGCCAGGTTTGGCTTTTGCATCACCGTCTGATATTGGACACACCGGTTCCCGTTCCTTCTGGAGCAGCCACATGGGCCCGCTTCCCTCCAACAGGATGATTGTACATCAGTCAACCTCGTGCTCGAGGTAATACAATCAACAACCATCACTATGTGTTGAGGAGGGGTGGTACATGCTGTCTCAGGCAGGCTGGTGCAACTTGGGCTGAATCCATTGGCAAGGGCTGGTTGTCGAGAAATGTTGTTCAGCCCCCGAATAAAGGGGCAAGCTTGTATGGTTCCAAAGCCACCGCAATGTCAACACTTGTTCGTTTATGAAGCATGGGGAAATTCACACGAGGCAGTAAACGGGCATGGGCTTTTACGAAAGTGGGGGATGACGGCGATGAGAGCGTCCTAGCGCTGCCATTCCATCTGACATGGAGGGCAGTCCTCGGGACCGATGTTGTTAGCTGGCCGAAATGTTGTTGGTGAGGAGGCTGAGTTAAGGAATCTCTCGCTTCTCACTTACAACATGCACGGCCGTTGCCCGCTCAAGTTAACCTTTTCCCAAACAAACGACTTCATCGTCGATGAGGGGTCTGTCTCTCTGTCTGGTGTTCGGTTTGTGTTCTCTCCCTTACTCTCCCCCCCAAAACCTCGGCCCAAGAACCAGTTACACGGTACCGATCCATCGGAGTACACAGACGTACGGCACCGATTGAGTAATTTTCTGTAGATCACGATCCGCGACAATATACGCAAGAAATGACACAAAGTTGGCTAATGGATACAACTGACGGCTGACTGCAGCTTGCTTCCTGCGAATGATTGGCAATTGTAGAGTCGCATTTGGGCGTAAGTCGGCAAACTCGAAGGAGTGTGTCCTCCGGACCAACACTAAGCCGTGCTGAGTGAGGCGATTCACACCCACCAGTCGTGAAATGTCTCCCATTCGGCGTTAGGCGCGGATGCATCACGAGACCATTGGGCCTCATCCGCCAAGTGTGCGTGTGTTCGCTAAGTGTGTGCGTATGCGCCCGCCTCATCTGTCTCGTCTGTCATACGGCGTAATTTATTGCCAATTTCTCCGCGGCCGAATCTTGCGCACGCAGCTCGCGTGGCTCGCAAACGCCATTGCATGAGATTCTTCAAGCCATGGCTGCCTTTCAAGACCTCAGCCGCGCCTGGAATTCAGCCCATTTACTCCCGTGATGGCTGATTCTGGCCTTCCATCGTTGGAACTAACGATTTTGAAATGTAACAGAAACACTTTTGGAATGTTCTATCGAGCCCGTGGCGTTGTCTCTGTTCGGATACCGGGTTGCGAATTTCGTCCCCGGAGACCACGAGGAGGCGATATGAGAATGTGGGAATACAGAACTACAGTAAATAGAGTGAGGCGCTGATCTAGAAGGTCTCGAGGTGGACGAGGGCGAGCTATCGAACGTGAATATCGCGTGGAAACCACGCCTTCTTGCCCTCACTTGCCCGTCTTCTTCGCAGCTGGAGCCGAGGTGGCTGAGATTCGTGATCTAAGACAGGAGAAAGAAACGAGACAAAACCCAAAGGCATCCTTACCCTGTTCCTGAGGCGCTCGCCTCAACTTTTCAGCAGCGACTTCTGGAAGACCACATGGCAAATGAGTTAAAACAACAATCTGAAAACGGGGCGCGTTTCGTGCGACGTTGAGAATTGTGGATTTTCTAGAATGAAATTGAAGCCACTGCCAGTATCAACTCATTCGGTCGCGAAAAAGAGTGTCTGTCGTTCTCTCTTTCTCTAACATGACATCAAATTGCGTGAAACCAAACTCGAGATGTCAAGGCGGTGGCACAGCATGAAGATGGGACCGCCCCGCCCGGATGAGATCTGCAAGACCGAGCCTGACAGCAAGCAGACCCGGATTTTCTTGCAGGGCGGCGGGCCTTGAAAGTCTGCCTTCCGTATTTTGCTGGTGTTTCCAGGTAAATTGTATGATGCTGTTGGAGCCTTTCAGCCGATGATCGGCGGCGGTGCAGCTTGACGTGCTGCTGCTTCTGCTGCTGCATCGTTGAAAGAGGCTTTCAAAGCGGTGCGACATCGCCAAGGCTGGAAAAGAGAGCTTCCAGAGGTGAATGACACTAGTCACGTCGTAGATGTGCAGCAAAGATGCTCAAGGTTCTTGGCTCTCAGCAGCAACCGAGGAACCCCCCCATTATTGGTGTGATTTGGGTTGGACGCCAGCGAATTCAAAGTGGTGTTACCGGTACGTCTGTTGCTGTTAGCGGGATGGTTCGCAGACTAGGGAGATCGACATGCGCGGACTGCTGACTAGCTTGGACACGCCAGGCAGTGTCTGCTTTGGCCATTGCTGGATCACAGGCTGTCGGGCTTTCACGTTGGTTGCGGTCGAAGAAATTAACGACGCAGAAGCCGTCAACATGCCCCATGAGATGCAATATGAGCAATGATGATGCGAGAGGAAAATACGAAGACGGGCGACGGAACTCTCGTCCAACGTGGCTTGTGCGGCAACTTTCTGATTCGTCCTCGCGGACAATCCATCTCATCGTTCGGCTCGACTGAATTTCACCGAGGGATCCAAAGTTTTGACGAAAAAAGACGTGAGTTTGCAAGCCTGAGTCTACTTGTTCTATCCAAAAAATTCCCAATTTTTACTCTGTTCACAGTTAGTGATGGGTCCCGACGAGTACCTGCGAAGGTGAGATAGGTGATTCAAGGTACGAACCCATTTCGATCGTTCCGGGGGGCTTCGACGTGATGTCGTATGTGCAGCGGGCGACGCCGTCAACTTCGTTGATAATACGGGTCGAGATCTGGAGGGCGCAAAGTCAGCAACCATAGATAACGCGGAGGAGGAGGAGGAGGAGGAGGAGATAGTCATACTCTCTTAAGGAGGTTGAAGTCGAACTCGTAAGGCTCCGCGGACATGAAGTCCAGAGTCTTAACGGCGCGGAGACTAAGATTGAATGTCAGCCGATTGATCGGAGGAGATGGTCAGGGAGACAAGCAAGCAAGGTTGCTAGCAAGAGGGGCTTTGGTGATGGCGCTTACATGATAATGTAGCCGTAAACCTAGAAGAGTTAGTCATCTGCATTATACGCATATCGAAAGGGAGGGACATACTCTGGCATCACCTTGAACTCCAACAGCTGCAGAGAAATCATTCGTTAGTAAAGGAACCGGCCGGCGTGACAGGGTTTCAACTCCGGGGGGTCTGGCAACGTACCCTTGTTGGAATCCACAGCAGCATATGCTTGGGACATCTAGAAAATGGTCAGCGACTGTCCTAGGAAAATCAAAGGGTTGACACTCACCTCATTGTAGATACCGGCTTCCTTGATCATAGAAATGAAGATGTTGTCGGCAGCACGGGCAATGGCAACTCTCTCGGGTGTTACCTCTCCAATAATGCGGATAGCAATCTGACTGGTGTTAGACGAGCTACGTGTTGTATGGCTGGCGATCTGGTACTTACACCGGGGCCGGGGAACGGGTGACGCATGACCAGATCCTGATGGATGCCCAATTGCCTGCCGAACTCTCTAACCTCATCCTTGAACTGTTCGTGGGAGTCAGCATGGGACGCAGAAAATACTCTAAACGAGAGCAAAAAAATGCAGTGAAAGTGCGACGTAATTTTGTGTCGGCCAGTTGGCACAAGCCCCGCTTTGAATACATGTCCTACTGTCATCCGGATGTGACAGATCATAAGACGAGGATGGAAGAGGGTTTGGGGAAACGAACCAATTCTCTGAGGGGCTCGATGAGTTTGAGCTGTACGAAGATTAGCTAAAGTAAATAACAGGAGCACAGCGAGCGGAAGCGGTGTAGTTCAGCAATCAGGGATGGGGAAGACCATCCTCCCAAAGATAGCGGCTTCTCCAGGATACTTCTTACCTTCATCTTCTCGGGAAGTCCACCGGTGTTGTGGTGAGACTTGATAGTCGCACTGGGTCCCTTGAAGGAGAGGGACTCGATAAGATCGGGGTAGAGTGTGCCCTGGAGGAACCAAGTGATGGGTCCGGCATTCTCAGTGTTCTCGGCCTCCTTCTCCAGTCTAAGTGCCTCCTTCTCGAACAGGTCAATGAAGGTTGCGCCGATGCTGCTATCGTATTAGCAAGGTCGATAGGTGTAGTCAAGTATACTGACATCTTGCGCTTCTTCTCGGGTTCGGTGACGCCCTTTAGGCGACCAAGGAACAGGTCAGCTCCATCAGCGACGGTGAGGTTGATTCCAAGGTGCTTCTCGAGGGTCTCCTTGACCTGCTCGCACTCGTTGAGGCGCATGACGCCTGTCACATTGAGCTTAGTAAATTATGTTGCGTTGGTTGTGGTGATGTTGGCTTGCTTACCGTTGTCAACAAGGATGGCGTGGAAGCGGTCGCCTGATGAAATATTAGTCTCTGTAGAACTTTTCCTATAAAAGTTGCAATCATACCAATAGCTTCTTTCATCAGCTTGGCTGCGACAGTGGAGTCGACACCTCCAGATACAGCGCCGATGACCTGGGCCTTGTCACCGACAAGGTGTCTGATGCGGATGATCTCCTTCTGGATGAAGTCCTCCATCACCCAGTTGGGTCTGGCGCCGCTGATATCGACGGCAAAGTTCTTCAGGATCTCACTGCCGCGAGGTGTCTACATCGCCATGTCAGTGTGTGTTCTTGTTACGAAGACTGCGCGGTCGGCGTCTGAGCCGGTGATTCTCCACAACAATCAACGGCCCTACAACGGGCGCCTTGCTGATCGCCGTTCTCGGCGAGCACGATGCCTCCGTGCTAGGAGAATTGCCGGAAGTAATATTCAACTTACGTGCTCCTGCAAAGTGTTAGTCGTATTCCTACAGAGTTCCAGGAGAATGGGGTTGGTCTTACAAGCTCAGGGTGGAATTGGACGCCTGAAGGATTCAGAGTACCGAGTCAGCCAGAATCCAAAAAGTAGGGACGGTAAAATTTGATAGTACGAGCTCGCGTGGATCTTTCGAAAACTGCTCAACGTCGAAGGTTGATAGCAACATACCGTAGATTGGCTTGGTCTGGTGGGCGATTCCGGCATACTCGGAGTTCGCAGTGCTCGCAACGACGGTGAATCCTTCGGGAAGGGCGACCAACTGCATTGATGTTAGACAAATGGCTTTGAATATTCCAAATGCTCTCTACTGATGCTGAAGTACCTTGTCAAAGTGACTCATATATGCTGTCGTGAAAGTCAGCATTCGTCAACAAAGTATCAGGAGAGTTCTGGGAGGTTTGAAGGCTCACCTTGCATAGTCTCTCCCAGGCCAGTGAAGAGGCGGTCAGTGTGAGAATTGCCGGAGTTGAGGATGGTGACATCGGCATGACCGTACTCTGCATAGCGGACGGATCAGAATGACTCTTATTTTATACGAAGGATCCCCCAAAGTGACTGACCTCGGGCCTCTCCGCGAGCAACGTTCTTGGAGTTGATTCTCCAGGCGAGTTCCTGCACATAGTGAGCCGACTATTCGTCTTGATAGGATATCGTCGGAGTCTTGGTGTAAGACGAAAAAGCGCCATCGTGTAGTCGACTGCAGAGAAAGAGATCGGATTGAGTATTACCTGGCAACCGTAGCTACACACATCAATGAGTTCATATTTTCTCGGCGAAGGGAATGGCTGACATACCAGATACCCAAAATGGGAACACCGAGATCAAAGATCGCGGGGTCGACGTCTTTACAGTATCAGAAAGAGCTCTACTCTACTTGCTCAAGGGGGTTCCTTACGAGGAGAGTCCTGGTCGTAGACGGACGAGGGACCGCCAGACAACACGATACCCTTGGGCTTGAAAGGAAGATCCGCCAGCTTGGTTGTGCAAGGCAGCATCTCAGCGTAGACCTTGAGGGATCTCAGGCGACGGAGGATGAGATGGCTGGTCTGGGAACCAAAGTCGAGAACGAGGATGGTCTGGAATGCAATTTGTCAGTTACCCGAGCTGGACGTGACTTTCGCAACCCCCGACAACTTTGACTGTATCGGCATCGTTTACGTGGGGACTCGTTTATCGTGACTGCGGGGAGTATCGTGAGTTCGAGTCGAAGGGTTCGATAAGTACGAGCTGTAAGCTACCGCTCGTCGCGCGTCTAAGTAGTCGAGCTCTGTTTTATGGGAAGTTCTGCGCGCTCGGTTGACAGCTACTTTTTCGACTTCTCTTGTATGACTCCCACTACGCCCTTAAGCTGTGTTGCACTCGCGCACGCAGCAGTAGTCGTGATCCAAGACTGTTGCAGGGTATTTCGATTCGCGCTGTTGACTCAATTCAGAGCTGCACGCGAATAGAAGAGTTCGGGAGAAAGGGTCCGAGGATTTCACCGCTGTTTCGAGGCAACGGCTGGTCGTGTCGGTGATCGCGATGTGTTGTGGGCAGCGGGTTCCACACAGTCAAAGTTCCTCGGGGGTCGTATTGGGGGCATTGGCCAAGGCGAAGGGAATAGACGTACGTCAAACATGTTGTGAGGCGCCTCGGCCTCGGCTTCAATAGCGCTCGCCATCTTGGAATGCTTGCTTGCTGGAGAATGAGAATATGCGTGTTGTTGGCGGTCGTGTGATTTGCGGCGAGAGAAAAAACGAAGGCGGAGGAGAAAAAAGTTTTGGTAAGAGTCAATCAATCGACCCGGCACGGCACACCAGCGCATGGCGGGGGCGGGGCACTTTCTGTCCCTTATCTTATCACTCCAGGGGTCCACCTCAGCCACATTACAGCTCTAGCCACTCACTCTACCTGACCTATTAGTGTTCAGTGTCCATGAATTCGAGCAGTTGAAGAAGCTGAGATGTGTAACTTTGTAGATTTATTCCTTGCGATGTTTTCTTCAAACAGATCAATGCAGTGTTATCGAGCTCAAGTAGAAAGCCTCCAGACGTAGTGAAATGAATTGTCACTTTCAGATACCTCAGGACAAGTACTATCAAGGGCACTGAGCTGGTCCCGATTGAGCAAAGATGATGTCATTCATCTCTCCAGTGACATCGCCGAACCCGCCGAACTTTGAGGTTTCTCTCAGAGACATCAGCGTTGGTTCTCGTTCATATTTGCGTCGAAATACATGAACAATTGAAAAATGTATGAGATCTACGCTGTTAGTACATCCTACCTCGATTGGTTGGATCATCACCCGTGGCTAACAAATCCAGGCCGGTGCTGCGGCAGCCTTCACAGTAGATTGTCTCGTCTACCCTCTAGATACCATCAAGACCAGATACCAGAGCCAAGACTTTGTCAAAACGTATGCCTCGACATCAGGAAGCAAAGCACCCCTCTTCCGGGGCCTCTACCAGGGCATCGGGAGTGTGGTGCTGGCCACATTACCGGCCGGTGAGTACACCCAAGGTGTCTTCTGAAATGAATGGTGCTGATAAGCTTGCAAACTTGCCAGCCGGAATATTCTTCGCCACGTATGAGAGCATGAAGAAAACCATCTCCAGCACTTATTTGCTCCCTCAACCGTTTGTGCACGCCTCGGCCTCGGCCATCGCAGAGATGGGCTCATGCCTAGTCCTCGCACCAGCAGAAGTCATCAAACAAAATGCGCAAATGTTACGGAAGCAAGACAACAGCAGCAGTAGTAGCGGCACCAGACGATCAACTTCCCTCGAGGCCCTGCGACAAGTCACAAGTTCCGGGGCGCAGAGGCGTCTCTTCTCCGGCTACACAGCCCTCGTGGCGCGCAACCTCCCCTTTACCGCGATTCAATTCCCCATCTTTGAGCACGTGCGAAACACAGTCTGGACCTCGCGGTCGCAAGGGAGGGCAGAGGGCGAAGAGCAAGGCCTCCTAGAGACGGCCGTGGTCACAGGAACCAGCGCAGGCGCAGCGGGTGCGTTTGCGGCCTTTATCACTACGCCGAGCGACGTCGTCAAGACACGGATGATGCTGAGCGCGGGAGAAGCCGGCGACGGCAGCCACAGCACTTCGTCGTCTTCACATGTTGAGAAGTCGGCGAGTCCTAGGTCGAAGCCGAAGCGCGGCAGCTTGGAGGTGACGCGAGACGTGTATCGACGACACGGCGTGCGCGGACTGTTCCGCGGTGGAGGGCTGCGTGCCGTGTGGACGGCCGTCGGCAGCGGTCTCTACCTGGGCACGTACGAAATGTCAAAGGTCTGGCTCACTCGGGGCAAGGACGAATCGGAAGTTGTCGGAGGGCTGTAAAAACGGGCGGAAGAGAAGCAGCAGAAACCGTGCATATGTGAGATTAGCAGGGTGCATCTCGAGTGAGATAACAACCGGCGGTGACGGCGGCAGGAGCCTAAGAAAGTTTGCTGTAAGTGTATCTCTCCGGATACGTGTATCTATAGAATTGGGTTTCTGTTATCAGCATCAACGTATCAAGGGAGGCAATGATATGAGATGCATGAGAGTTACGTCGTGCCAAATCGTCTGGTCGTTGTTGAAAGTCGCCAATATGGGAGAGGGAGACAAGTTGAAGCGACGGGAGTGACTGAGGAAGTAATTAGAGTCTCCAAAACACGGCCTGAACACCCGGACTACCTCATTGACAATCCAATGTTGCCGCGTTGTTGGGGTGGATATTTACCCGCCGGTACGTTGATGCCGGGATACGCCAGCCTGTCGATGCAAAAAAGTTGTCGGCCAATAGTTTCGGTGTGATAGAGCACAAGTTGCAACTCTGCCGTCCCCTAAAAAGTCAGAATGCAGAGATGAAGGCAAAAAGATACGCACCTTGAGGGCTCCCACAAACTTTTGCTTCTTCTTCTTCTTCTTCTCCTTTCACCATACCTTGACCAACGTTGCCAAACTATCCCATCCACCTCATCCTTTCTGTTAGCCCTACGGCTAGACGTTTTTGGTCGGTCATGGCCCGGCGTAGGTAGCGTCAGTGAAGAATGCGGGGGAACTCGCTGCTCCAACTCGTCGTTTGGGCTTCTAAAGCAACACCCACCACCACCAGAACCAAAACCAGCCAGGCTTGGCCGTCCGTTCTTTTCTCCAGAGACGGGCGAGCCATCCTTTGTCGTTAGCCCCGAGTTTCTGGCGAGTTTCTGGCCCCAAAATTCGATGTCTATGCCCAACACTCCATGTTTTCCTCTTCTTTGGTGCTCCTGTTGCGCTTCTGCTTTGACAATTAGCAAACGTAACTCAAGTGTCTCTCGTACTTTTGTGTAACTCAACTCCCTTCCCTTCCGTTTTTCTCCAAAGGGTCGTGCCAATAACATTAAAAGTCTAAAAAAAACCGAGTCCAAGTCTCAAGAGGCGCAATGCGCATCATATCCAAATTTACACACGTCTCTGGCATCAGAACCACATCCGATTGCGCAATCTCTCCAAACTCGTCGCTCCTTTGCGCCCATCGGTACCGTCCGTACTCCGTACCGAACCGCACCATCCATGGCTGTCCCATGCTTGCATGCTTCCCCCCTACTGCATAGCATGCAAACGTCCGGCAAAATTCTTTTTTTCCCTCTTTCGCTTTTTGAGATGATCCATATCTTGGGTTGGCTAGCCCGCCTGGCAGCCCGCCCGGGTCGCAGATTTGCTATGCAATGTCCTCATGCAAAGCCCAAGAAAAAGGGGTCCCTAACTCCCTGAACATGGTTGAGGGATGAACACCGCTTCTTTGACCGGCACACCGGGTTGGTCAGCTGCACTTGACTCGCACCGAGTCGCTCGACGGTGTGTAAGGTGTTAGTCGCTCCCGACCCACCTGGGCTTGGGTTAGGCAATCCCGTGTCGAAAAGACGTTTCCTCGACGCCCCCTGCCCGACACGTCTCTGACTCTGGATGGTGTGCTGTGCTGTGCTGTGCTGTTCTTATATTTCAGACTCGACGCTCATTTTCATCTTTTCGTCTTTCAGATGTTTGTCGTCTTTTTGTCCTACCATAACGAAAGCACCATAACGTAGCCTCAGCTCGTGCTGAACTTGAGTCTTCACTTACACAACTCGTTGCTTCACCCACACCATCTTCCAGCAATCTCCAAGAACAATTCTTCAAGCGCACTCGAGGATTCCAACAACCCAAAGCCACCCGAATTCTCCAGCCAACCACAAGCACAGAAACATTGCTTCGGATCACCATCATGACTGCCGTTGTGACCACTGCCCCGCTGGGCGTCGACCTTCTGGCCCAGAGCATCAAGGAGAATACAGCCATAAACATTGCTGAGGTCGACATCAACAACACGGACAGATTCCTCGTCCACTCTCCCTACACAGAACCAGAGCACTTGCTAGATCTCGAGACCCTGGATGATGAAAACGCCCTCCTCGCCAAGGCGTTGTCTCAGATGGAGTGCCTCCGCGCGGACTACGCCACGGCCGGCTACGTCGAATCCTTCAACTGGGACCAAGTTCTGGACGAGCTCAAGCGCCTCGTTCAATCCACTGAGAAGACATTTAAGGAAACTTCCTTCTACATTGTGGCATTCCGCTCGACGATCCCGCCATCGACAATTTATGAAGATCTCGGCGTTTTGGATAAGGCCGCGCATGCCGAAGCCAACCAATTCGGGGGTTTCTTGAAGTAAGAGAAATGACGAGGAAATAGAGACAAAGAAGGACAAGAAACTAACTCGCCCGCAGATATTGGTTCGGAAGTCCCGACCCAGAAGGAAGAAACTTGGCAACGTGCGTCTGGAGGTCGAGACCAGATGCCGTCAAAGCCGGCCACGGCCAGGCTCATCGACGAGCAAGTCGTGCGACAGCGTCCATGTACTCGTTCTGGAAAATTGATCGTCACCGCCTGATCGTTCGTGACGGAGCCGAAAGCTGGGAGATTGTCGATTGGGTTGACTAAGCGCACCCTCTTTCAGACCGACAGAAAGGTAAAATAAAAGTGACTACTTGCGGCGTTTGGTGATTTTGGGTGTATGTCGCAATCGGGCTGGTAAATGAGCAATGAGACACCACAAACAGAGCGTATGATACGCGGCATAAGAGGGTATGACATGGCGCACTTAGATATTTTCGCATTATACAGCCAAGAAACCACTGGGTTTTCCTTCACAGAAAGCGTAATAGACAAACGCATAGATCCATTGCACCGTGTTCTAGACTTGCATCCATGTGATGTGATGGCCAGTTGAAAATCATCCTGGATGGGTACTTGGAGCGAAAGGCGAAGGGATCGCGAATACTGAGGCAGGCGAGAGCTCGGACTCCCAGAGGCGCTGAATCACGGCTGTGATGTACCATTTCCATTCTATCGACATGTACAACTCGACATGGCCACATAACACCCCCCGAGTGATATCGCAAAATGATGCTCAGGAGCAGGAGAGTCGAATGGGCCAGGTTATGAAGAGGAAGATGGAAGGAGGGAAGCGCAGGACGACGAGATGAGACGACGTTGAATTTAAACTCGACTTGAGTGCTTTCGGCGTGGGGGCAATGAGTGGGATGCCCTCCCATTCAGGACGTGGCGTGTGGAATCTGTTACGGATCACCGTGGGAGAGAAAGACGGCGGTGTGGGTCCGTGGACGGCCGGTCCGGGAGGGGTGCAGTTAACGGACCTTGAGGGGGTGAATATATCATATGACCTTTTCTCCAGTGAATCCTGCCGCCTGACACCGCCCGACAGCCCACAATCCCTCCCACAATTCGTTGTAGCGAAAAGTTCGATATTTCGCAACACGACGAGACGACCGCCGCTCCCCTCCTCGATTCCCGACTGCCAAGTTAACGCGACACCAACGATCCCGCAGCCGCAGACTCAAAACCAGGCCACCGAATTTTTGAACCTGCACGAATCTCTCTCCGATCGTATCGCAAATATGGGTGACGTTATCAAGGAGGTGCCGCTCACGGCGGTCCGCGTTGAGGCCCTTGTGAGTCCTGCCCGAATTGTGCCCCACCTCTCCTCACATTGGGGCTTCATGCTGCAGTGCAGTCATGATGGAGGGATATATGGTAGAAGATGTGTAATGTCGCTGACCTCAGATGTACTTATCCCCCTAGGTGGTGATGAAAATCGTCAAGCATGGCTCCGCGACCTTCCCCACGACCGCCACCGGCTCCATCGTCGGCATGGACGCCGACGGTCTCCTCGAGATCACAAACACCTTCCAGTTCCCTACGGTCGACGTCGCAAGCACCGACAGCCACCAAAACAGCCACCAGAACGATGCCTCGGCCCTCGCTGCCGCCGCTCCCCGCCAGAAGGCCAACATTGTCTACCAGAACGACATGATCAAGCACCTGAAGGAGGTCAACGTCGACGCTAACAACGTCGGCTGGTACACCAGCGCTGCTATGGGCAACTTTGTCAACCTCAGCTTCATCGAGAACCAGTACCACTACCAGAAGGACAACGAGCGGACAGTCGCTCTCGTCCACGATGTCAGCCGCAGCTCCCAGGGCTCCCTGAGCCTGCGCGCTTTCAAGCTCACCCCGTCATTCATGGCCGCATACAAGGAGGGCAAGTTCACGACCGAGAGGTATGTTGGATTGTGTTAGTTGGATTGTGTTAAATATGAAGATTTGGAACCGACTGGGGATGCTGACATTTCTCATAATAGCCTGAAAGCATCCAAGCTCACCTTCAAGGACATTCTCGCCGAGCTCCCCGTCGAGATTCACAACACCCACCTCCTGACCTCGTTCCTGCACCAGCTTCCCGGCCTCCCCGAGCAGGACAAGATCGAGTCGCCCAACTCCTTGTCGGATCTGCGTGACGACCCCCTCAAGCAGCAGCTCCACCCCTCGGTCGAGAACCTCGACCTCTCGATAGACCCCTTCCTCGAGAAGACGTGCGACCTCCTGCTCGAGAGCATCGAGTCGCACTACACCGACCTCAACAACTTCCAGTTCTACCAGCGCCAGCTCGGCCGCGAGCAGGCCAAGATCACGCAGTGGCAGACCAAGCGCAAGGCGGAGAACGCGGCGCGCGCGGCGGCCAAGCAGGCGCCGCTGCCCGAGGACGAGTGGCAGAGGCTGTTCAAGCTGCCCCAGGAGCCCAGCCGGTTGGAGGGCATGTTGAACGCGAAGCAGGTGGAGCAGTACAGCAAGCAGGTGGACGGATTCACGGCCAACATCAGCGCCAAGATGTTTGCCGTCAGGGAGAACCTGCTGCCCAAGCGGGCTTAGATGGACGCTTAAGGCAGACTTGGGTCATTGTTTCGCGGCTCCGTGGATGTGGACGGATGAAGAAACCGGACACATCGCGTGCGTGAGACGAAGAAGGGGGAGTGCAG